AGTCAGGTGTACAACTTGCAAAGATAATAATAATGATAATGATAATGATGATAGTTCTAATAAAGACTTTTTTAATGTGTCAAATGCCTTGCTTAGACAAGTGTAAACTAATTGTGGACACCTATTAACTAGTTAACTACCTAAGAAAATAGAAAATCGAACAACTAAAAATATACAAACTCGGAAACTCTGCCTCTCTCATTAATTATTCTAAGAGTTACACAGGTGACAGTTCCTACAGGTGTCAGTTCTCATGAGGTTCTCAATGTCCACTTTTCTCACGCGGTTCTTAAAAGAAGCAAGTGTTAAAGAACTCTTAAGGTGGCTCGATCCAGTAATTTGATGGGCACATTCTCCATCTTTGAATCTATAGTTAAACAATTCGTTCTTTATTGTAAAACCATTATGACACGTGGATGACACTTAGACTAAGCTTTATTATGGTATTATTTTGGCGGCAATCGGGATAAATGTCACGTGACAATGACGTCACAATGGTTTTAGCCCTAAATCAAATTTCAGTCTTGTTCGGCAGTTTTTTTTTTGAAATGCTTTACGCAACGTATTCTTTGGATGAATGTCTTCTGCTGGGCGAAGTTTCAGAAAAATCTATACGAGGAATTCGAGATATCTTGGAATTTCTTCAAAAAGGGTTTAAATTATGCATGCACTGAAGACTGGACTTAATACAGATAAATTTGCTACTTTTTGGATGTTTTAGTTAAGGTTTTATTACTCTTTCGTTTTGCAAATGACCCTTGTACACTTGCAAGCCTCTGAACGCAAGTACACTCGCACGATTCCAAAACACATGAAAACGTATGAATCAGGGTAAAACGAAATGCTCAGAGCTCTTTTTGTAATTTCTAAGGCTAATTTCTCGAAAACAGCCATTAAAAAAAAATTCGTCGATATCTTTTTTAAAACATTTTCATTACAATAATTGATCATTGTACTATTAAATCCTCGAATTTCGTGTCGATTTAAAACATGACTTTTAAAGTTGTCTAACATGGGCGCAAAAGTGAGTAAATATCGAAGCGATGTCATAGATATGGATATTTCATTTCCTTTTGTTCCGTGGTCAGCACAACATCAAATTCCCATGCAGCACGCGAGAATTTATATCGCGCTTGGTTGCCCTCCGAAATCTTTCCGAAAGATGGTAATGTTGTAGAAAGGGTGGAAACAATAGTGAATATTCCGATGCCCAAAAAATAATACCATAATAAATTTTAGTCTAAGTGTAATCCATGTGTCATAATGGTTTTACAATAAAGAACGAATTTTTTAAGTATAAGAGATTCAAAGATGGGGGGGTGCACCTATTAAAATACTGGGTCGAGCCAACATAATGTGTATACTTAAACTGGACCATATTACAGGACCAATATACCTAATACTGTGTTTCCCATATGTAGTGGTGTTTATTCTTGGCATCGGAAAATTGCCTGAATTTCTCAGGATATAAATTCGGTTGCTTAAATTATCATCGATCTACGGTTTTGATCAGCTAATTAAACAATAATCCTTCCGGGGAAGGAAGCTAGTACTTTCCATATAATCTCTTAAATGAAATCAAAACAATGTTCTCACAATTTGCACATCGAACATCAAGGGTCTAGCCAGCAGATTTGTGTACCAAAGATCAACAGTTTTGGGAAGGCACAAAGGCAGGATTGTTTCTCATTATTATACCGATGTTTTGGTTATTCGCAACTGTATTGATTTTATGTCGCTTTTCAGACAAAGTGTTTTAATTTGCTTTTTTCTTTAAAAAATTTTCCTCCTCAGCTGGAGTTTGGAATATGCATAAGATATCGAGTAGTGTTTTGCGCTGCAAACCTAAGGAAAGTTTAGGTCGCTTTTAAAAGTACAAAACTGATGGTAAGTGAAAAAAAGTAAAATGTTATCACTGATAACTGTTATAATATTCTTCTCGCCCGGCAAATACAGTGGAACCTTCAATCGGCGACAAAATGAGTTGAGACACTTCGCCCAAAACTGGGCTTTTTTACGTTTTATTAACTTCAAAAGGAGGAAATATAGCTTTCCTCCCCCATCCCCTCCGTGCAATGTTGTGCCCTTGTTCTAGCTGCCTATAGAAAACAACAAACACCCCAACTTTGAATGGAGGGGACAGGGGAGGGGTGCCGATTCTTTTGTTCTCCGAAATTACCCTATTTAAGTACAATGTATCAACAATTTTGTCGCCGATTGTTGATACAACAAACCTCTATATAACGAAGTCCTCGCTATAACGAACAATTTTGCCAGTCCCTTGGCCCTTTGTTATATGGACGTTCCACTGTACCTATAAACTCGATCGATAGTCCAGCATGCATTGTTGTCCGGTAAGAATCAATTGAATAAATTGCACTGAGTATCGTTTGCGTTTTGCAATTTCAATACCAGAAAAATATAACGGTTCAAAGCAAAATGATTTGAAAAAAAAGTTTATTTCAACATCATCACAACGTCTTCATCAGTAGAGTGTTAGAATTAACTATCAGTCATGTGATTTTACCCTCAAAACCTTACTTTTCCCTGAAATATACCTTTGAATTCATGTTTCACCACATTCATCAGCCGTTGAACCGCGTGAAAGGATTGGATTCCTTTCCGGCGAACGAAATGATGCTAAATATGCTTTGAAATATTCTCACAAAAACGAAGAAGTAAGGGGCCTCACGACAAGTTATTCGCTGCTGGTCACCCAACCAGTTTCTAACTGCAACCGGCAGGACTTGTAATGAGTGCAACACCTAGTTTTGCGAGGGTTTGCGAGACACGTATTTCTAGTTAATTTTTTCGAAAAACATAGTCTCCACTTAAAACAGGAAAAAAGTCTTTTCGATAGTTATCATCGGTTTTGAAATGAAACGGTTACTCGTCTAATGGCTATGTGGATAAGGGAGCATGACCCCAGCGGCGGGGAGTGTTGAAAGACAGTTGCTATTGTATTCGCAGGCTCGGAATCACTGTGTTTCTAATGCTGCCATATTTGAAATACCATCCAACACGTACAAGAGATCTAGAGCGTGTCATCCCAGTACCCAGGCAAGATATGGATAGTTTCCAGTTTACCTTCGACAGACGTCCGTTTTTTGAGGTGATGTCCGCTGAAAAATTTTTTTTCGACATAAATGATCGCATTCTCATGGCATGATTCTATATCAGGAACTTTAGTTTTCTACTTATCTGCTTTACTTCAATGATAAAAACAATTCTTCTGCATTATTAGATCAGTGGAGGAGACTGGTTATGAAATTTAAGTAAACAATTATAAAATGTAAAAAGAAAGTGCTGCAGTTTAATTATGTAAGGAATTCCCTGTCGGTGCACAATCCTTTGTCGTTTTTTCATTAATTGTGACTGAATAAATTATTGCCACGTTTTTATTGGTTGCTCTTAAACGTTGTGCGCCGTTAAGTCCAAAGATACATGAATAACAGAGAGATCTAGCTAGATCTGACGGTTTGATAACCATTTTGCCTTATCAACTACGATATTACATGCACAACTGATTTTATTTGCTGTTTATGCCAACGGTTCTCGTTCTGTCCAAATATCCAGAGTTGTTTGGTTGCTCTACTGATTACTGCATTGAATAAATTGTTAAACCCCAAAATGATCACTGTGGAAAATTTTAGCTGAAAACCGAAAGTTCGTTTCATGTGGCCAGTTATTGAAGTCTCGAAGTCTATCGGAACAATTCACAAATTAAGCTTCTATTTATCGTCAAAATCCTTACGAGCATTACACCGTTCGCTAATCCTTCCTACCAACATAGTTTGAGGCTCCGCTTATAAATTATTTGAAGCTTATCTCAAATGGATTGTAATTTGATAAAAGCAAGTAAGCGGTAAGTCCCATTTCGATGCACATCCTGGTCCATTCCATGAAAACCTTGAATTTTATCCTTACATGATACAAACTTACTAAAATTAGGTCCAGGGGCGGACCTAGCGGGAGGGTTCAGGGGGTGCGCACCCCTCCCCCTCCCCGCGAGATAACCTGTGGCTTTCTAATACAACTGGTGTTCTGTATTGAGACTTGTTTACGTCACTAGTCAGTTACGCCATTCCTTAGTGGTGCACTCCCTCCTAAGTAAAATCCTCGATCCGCCCCTGAGGTCTCTTCATATACTCTCGTCTAAACCGAGCTAAACCGTACTCCTCTCCTACCTCGGAAATTTGCCTCGCATTATAACAAATTCAGATTCATATCAAGCGAGAAACTCTCGTGCATTTCGTTTGCTTTTAAAATAAGATAGTATAATTTTCATAGTGACAATTCTCTGACGCCCCGAGGGTACTGAACCTCCTTTTGTCTTCTTGAGTGAGGGGGAGAAAGGGAGGCTCTGCCAGTATCACGTCACACCTTTGAGGTCGCCGCAGCCCGAACATTCTCGACTAGTTAATCTAATTTTCTCGCGTCAAACTGAGTGAGAGCATCCGTTTATTGATAAACCGATAATCATAACTGAGCCCGCTGTACTAATCGCACGGCTATTAGACCTGGGGTCGAAACTATATCTTAGCAACATTAAACATCTTACTCAATTCATGCAGAGTCTTTCTCGAGTACGCCGAAAGCGAGCAAGTGAAAGAAAGACTCTGCTGTCAGGGTACGTGATTCTCTGAACACTAGTTAGTCAATTCAACCTCTCTAGCTTCCTATAAAGAAATATGGAAAGAATTCAAGGCCTCTAACTGTAGCAAGAATTAGTTACCCTACGTATTATTTGTTTATTTGTTGTGTTTTTGCTTCAAATTGATGTTGTAAATATTTAGCAACCTTGTTTTTGTTATAATTATGCATGATACTTTAGAGAATGAAAGAAAAGGTTGTAGCTTTTACACTTCGATTTGATTGCTTAATTCGCGAATTTATCAGTCATTGCTTCAATTTCTTGTTGATTTGACGCAGGATAAGAGTTTTAGAGAAAAGTGTCTGTCACAGCAGTTGGATTCACGCGAAATGGAGAATTAAAAACTTCAGCGTACCCACAAGTTTAAAGAGTAGTATTTAGTGGGTGATTCGTCTGCTTTGTTACCAAAATCCTTCTTTTTATTTTCACGTTTTATTCCAATCCCGTGGTCTGCTCCTGAGCATCCATCACCTCCTGCGCCGATCATCATCACAGCCTGGTTAGAATGCTTACCGCCAGTTCCAGATTTTTCATGTACATGTTTGCACCAAAACCCGATTTTATTGTCAGTCTGAAGGCTAGCCGGTGAGCATCCGTTTTTATTTGCCTGCTCAAATCCGTCAGTCTCACTGTTCTGGCCTCCATAAATAACGTTGCAACTACTCACACACTGATTATCTATGAAATCTCCGCTATGATGGCCACCATATCTCGTGTGGATTCTATCTCTAAATGTCTGCTCATCCAGGCAGTCATCTGTTGTCTGTAACAGGGCAGTGTAAGGGTCATCACTACGTGTAATCATAAACTCTTTGCCGCCGACCAGCCAGAACGCAGGAGAGATCATGTCCTCGCCGTCAATTGGATCAGTTGTTTCTCCTTTACCTTTTTTTTCGTCATTCCACCAGTTGCTGCTCCCCTTCCAGTGTTGTTCGTCAATGTTTGAGACACGAGCAATGAGAGTCCAACCTTGGCCCTCTTTCATAAGGCAATATACCTTTCAAATTAAAGCAAAATAAAAATGGCAGCTTTTAAGACGTATTTCTATTTACTATTTTAAACTGATGTTATTCCATTCTTCTTTTTGGTATATTTCAGTGTTAGATAAGGTCCCAGTGAGCCAAAAATCTGGTTATTTTATGTTTATTTAAACATGCTCCTGATAAAGAAAAAGTTCAACCACGACTGATATTAAAGGCTAAGGGCCTCTTCATATGAGCCCGGTTTCCAAGATCTCGCTTTGCCTCTATAAGGGCTTCCTCATATATCATGAGCCTAGTTGACCGGACTGTCCCGCTTTCCGAGATCTCGCTTTAGTCTGAATCCTTTGCAAAATTTTCGTTGTGTTCATATGAGAGGGTGAGCTGGCTCGGTTCTCGAGATCTCGGTTTTTCTATCCGGGATCTTGGTAAGCGGGCTGAACATTTTAGCCCGGTTCTCCGGCCGGGATGAAAGCGGGATGAATTATTCGAATGAATTCTGCATCGTCTTGCTTTGCCTGCTGTATTTTCCACATCACAAGCATACCATTTAACGGCAGTCATACAACTATAAGAGTTGCCAAAGCTACGATAGGCGCGAAAGCTATAACTTTGTGTTTCGCCATGTTTGCTTTGTTTCACGAATTTCGCGCCACAACTCGTCTTCGGCCTTTTCTCATTTCGGCAACCGGGCTGAAATTTCTCATATGAACCCAAGGTGAAATTTGTCCCGATAAGAGGGCCAGCCTAGTTAACTGGGCTCATGCGAAGAGGCCTTAAATACTTTGTTAATAAAATTTTTGATGAGTTCACATGAGAGTGCGGGCAGGCTCGTTACCCGGGATCTCGGTATGCGGGCTGGGAAATTTTGCCCTATGAACGTTTCAGCCCGGTTACCGAGATGAAACCGTGGTGAGTTCGACGTCCGGATGACATCGTGTTGCTTTGCCCACTGTATTTTACACATCATAAGCATCCCATTTAACTGCAGTGAGACAAGTGATATAAGAATTTTCAAGCATACCCTTTGGGGTAGGTTTACAAGCAAGCGCGAGATTTAGCCGGTTTTTCCTAGCAGTTGACAAAAAGTGAAGATTCGTGAATCGAACTGAAAATGGAGGGACAATTCAGTTAATGTAAGGAGATGTTTTTCGAGATCTTTTAATCTTTGAGCGAATTTTTCATGGCGGTATTCGGCTTTTCTTTTCATCCAATCAATCTACCTATTTAAATGCTTGTAACGTATGTTGAAGCGAAAAAGGAGCGAGCCCGAGTTCGTCGCGTGAATAAGTTGAATTGTTAGAAAACTGAAATCTGAGTAACGAGTTCACGAGAGCCGCGAACTGACAACAACATCGACGTCTGACCCGACAAAAGATCTTAAATTAATTTAGGTTGACCCAAATTAGAAACTACTTCGTTCGTCTCATGAAAAGTTCGACGTTTGGCCTAGGCCTAATTTCTCACTCAAAATTAATGTGGCTGAAGCCTGAAAACAGTGACCCCTTACCTGCTTATGGGCGGAGCCTCCCCTTAAAGGCCATCATAGGGATAGATAGATAGATAGATAGATAGATAGATACATCGTTCGATATAAATTCATAAAAATACTAATCTAATTACTCGCACTGAGTATTGCTCTTCGTATTAATGAGTCGCTGATTTATATTTGTATGTTTTAGACTGTTTTTAGTTCATTCTTAACTATTTCTCGTTAATAATTACCAGGTAAATACTACAAACACTTTAATATTGTCTTCAAAGATAGTTATCGGGGGATATTTTCCAGATTTATTCGGTTCCCTGTGATAAGATAAATTATGTTAGTTGTATTTTGGATTCAGTGAACGGCCTATTGTACTCCGTTCTCAAATTCATTATCACAGTATAGCTACCAGATGGGTACCAGATTTTGGAGTGGTAGACCATGGTTCAATTTGCGGCTGGACAAACACTTAGCGTCTGAAAATAACTGAGGAGAAGGTATTACCTTTCTGTCGCATCTGTAAGTGGTTAAGCCTTCAGTCCTCTCAGGAGTAGCCTCCAAAAACAGCCGCCTTTCTTCGCTCCTCGCCACAAGGGACGTTTCGCCAGAAGGGACGCCTGCGTCTCAGCTACAGAAATTCCATACTCATGATGTAATTCAATAGGGCCATTTATACGAGGAAAAATAAGACGCGTCTTACATTAGACGCGTCCTGAACTTTCCGTATAAACGGCACATTTCGTCTAAAATAAGACGCGTCTTATTTTAGAACAGCCCTTAACACCTGTTCTTAGATAGGACGCGTCTTAGCTAAGACAAGGAAAAATTCGTATAAATAGGGCCATTTATACGAGGAAAAATAAGACGCGTCTTACATAAGACGCGAACTTTCCGTATAAACGGCACATTTCGTCTAAAATAAGACGCGGCTTAGCTAAGACGCGTCTTATTTTAGAACAGCCCTTAACACCCGTTCTTCGATAAGACGCGTCTTAGCTAAGACGAGAAAATCTTTGTATAAATGACCTTCGCGTCTTACATAAGACGCGAACGCTGTCGCATAGTACGCATGCGTAAATTTTTGGCGCGCCACGTTGGATTGCCGTTGTTACGGGCAACATTCACATGAAAACGAGTCAAGAACAGAAATAAGATGCGAACCATTTATACGAGCTGTTCTTGTCTTAGATAAGACATGCTCGTATAAATGGTACAGTTCGCGTCTTCTTTAACACGCGTCTTATGTAAGACGCGTCTTATTTTTCCTCGTATAAATGGCCCTAATGTTTACGTACTAAATCCGATAGTCATGGGGTTCCAAATTAAAATTCTTCGATTTTATGTCTCTCTTGATCAGTTATGGTAAATTGTTGTGTTCTTCGGCGAACGCCGCTCCAACAAAACTCAAATGCTTCTTCTAAAGAAGAATATATTCCACGAAGTTCGACTGTTTTGTACTAGATTCATCGCGTTTTCATTTCACCTTTAATTTGTTACCATTTATCTGTTGTCTGCATGTCTTTCGTAAACAAGAGCTCAAACAGCTTGACTAATACGTCGACCAATCAGAGCTCCTGACCAGATTCCGGAAAAATTTTATGTCATCAGTGTGGAATTTCTGTCGCTGAGGCGCAGACGTCCCTCCCAGCGAAACGCCTCGGCTAGCGGCGAGGAAGGAGGAGAGACGGCTGTTTTCGCAGGTGAAATCAAGGCCCCACCTCATTGTGCTTTCACTCCATGATCTTAAACTCTCGAGTATCGGAAAGGAACCACAGGGAAGGTAACACTTTCTGGCAGTGACTACCCCGTAATCTCTGACTCCTGGCAGTACTTTAGTTGGGCAAGTTCTCTCGTATTGGCCTTTCAGCTACCTTTTGTTTATGGAATGGTTACTGAGTCGAAAACCTTAAAAAAATCACTTACCAAGAATATTTCGGAGCCAACAGCTATTTGGTAAGTGCCATTAGTTGTCTGTGGATTTGATTGTAGCAATTTATTACAGGATTCTGCTTCTAGAAAAATAGGGAGAAACAAGTTTTCATTTAGATCAAGAGACTCATTGTTTAGATTCAACATAAGAGACTCCTGTTTAGATTCAACATGAGGCGCATAAAAGCATAACAGGGAAAATGGCCCCCTATAGAAGTTATTGTCGGTTGTCAAGCGCTATTGGTCGGTAAGCCGGCAACGGCTTTAGACGCCCCGTGCTCAGACGGTATACCACTAATGTTGTTTGAGAGGTATCCTGCTCAAAGAGAGAGAGAGAGAGTTCCTTATTAGTGAGACTCATTTCTGTTAAGCACTCTCTCGAAAAAGGTACCTCCAGTCTCCATTAAGGCTTCCTTCAAAATGAAGGAATCTTAAGGACGATACGCTGTTTACGTTCGCGATTGTTTGTCGGTATATCTATAGGCTAGGATTTGGATTCAAAATCTGTTGAGGGGATTTGGTTGGAGATTCTCATCACAAAGTCAACAAATATTTCATCTGGCACTGTATTATCCGCCGGTTGGTTTGCAATTTATCAGTGCAGAACAAATTTTTCTGGTTAGTGATCTGAATGCAAATTTTGTACCTAGAAAAAGGACCGATGGAGTCTCGAGAGAGTTAAAGGACACTTTAAAAGGTTTTGGCATGTCACAGCTAATCAATGAACCCACTAGCGATCACTAAAAGCAGGAGCACATTTATTGACGTCATACTTTCGACACACCCACACAATATTTTTCTAACGAAAGTTATTCAACTGGGCATAAGTGATCATGTTATTGTCGGATAAGTTCAAAAAATGAACTCACTTACGCTTCAAGCACGAACTATTAAATGCTACAGCTTCACCAAGAAACAAAGACGTTTTTAAAAAAGACATCAAGATGGTCTCGTGGGATTCAGTGTTGAAAAGTTCTGATGTACATTCTGCATGGAACGGCTTCAAAAACATTTTTCTTGATATCTGTGATCGGCACGCACTGTTGCTTACTTAAAAAGTACTTGGTCGCCAAAATCTATAGATGACCTCTGCGATTTCTAACTTAATGAAAACTAGAGATTTCTACTTAAGAAAAGGAAAGAGATCTGGAAAAGACGAGATTGGGCTTCTTATTGATCACATAGAAATCAAGTCACTGCTGCTAAAAGGAATGCCAAGTCTGATTAAAATCAAAACTTAATTGAAGAAAATCTCGACGATCCGCGCAACTTTTGGAAGACTATGACGAAACTCTACCAAAATAAATCGTCAAGTTCCGGAACATTAAACCAACTGAAGTTCGATGGAGAGTTGATCACAGATAAAGAAAGAAAATACCGCCGATTGCTTTTGTAAATACTTCTCGGAGACTAAATTGCGACTCTCCAATCAATTCCAGAGAACTCCGCTGCTCCGTTGCTACTTCGTTTTGTTCCAAATTTACTGATGATAAATTTCACTTGGCACAAGTAACTAATGGCCTCATTTACATACACTTGGTACAGTCAAAGGCATGAAAGGCAACAAGGTCTTCATGGCCTCCCGACCAGTTTGCAAAAGGATAGTGCTGTAACTAACAGCATATTCAACCCAAGGTATACCCCATGATTGTAAACATGCTAAGGTAATCCCACTTTACAAAGATGGCACGAGGGATGATATTGTTCAACAACAACTTGTAGATTATCTGGAGTCACGTGACCAGTTTTCAAGACACAAATGCAGATTCCGTCGTAAGTACTCTATACAGTCAGCTATTACTTTGCTTACTGACTCCGTTAGGAGAGACATGGATGCTGGACTCCTAACAGGTGCCATCTTTGTGGACTTCCGTAAGGCATTTGAAATTATTGACCACAATATCTTACTTGATAAGCTGCAGTTGTTTGGGATTTGGGGTAGTGAACATCTTTGTATGACTGATTACCTCACTGAACGTACCCAATCTGTTTTCGTGGGAGGTGTTCTGTCCAGTCCTTAACAAGTTGTTTCTGGAGTTCTGCAAGGTTCTATACTGGGTCCGTTGCTATTTTTATTGTATTGCACAGACCTACCGAACTGTTTGCAAGCTTCTAATATGTTAATGTACGTAGCCCGGGGAGGGGTACTCAACAAATGTTTATGCGGGGAGGCTCCGCCCTTAGGTCCAACCCCTTACCCTTTTATATACCATTTTTCGTGAAAAAGGTACCCCTTTCTTAGACCTCCTATTGACAAATGGTATCCCTTTCACATACCTTGTTTAGAATTTTGCATCCCTTTTAACTACTGTAAATGCACTGTCTTTTAAATAGGAATCAATCACAAAAATACAACGTTTTCTCGACTTTATAAAGCCATAAAATTCATCTGTTAACCGTTTTGGGCCCTTTCACAGACTCAAATGACAGATTTCCCTACCCTTTTATATAATTAAACTGAGAAAAATCCCTACTCTTTCATATACCTGAAGCCTGGAAAAGATGCCCCTGTCAGGATGGAGCCTCCGCGTATAGGCCATCATAGGGAGTATCCAGCAGGGGTAGCAGATTATACAGCCATCTATTATGCTGCCTCAGATGCTAACCACCTATTGCAAGTGTTGAAGGACGCGGTGAGTTCCTTTTGGATTGGTCTAACAAGACTGATCTATTTATTCATCTTAAGAAAACTGAATATGTGATCTTTGAAAATTCTATGAAACTTAATCAGTTTGACTCTGTTAATCTAAGTTAAGCTTACCTCGGAGGTTGAGTTCTAAATCGTGCACCTTTTTATAAGTATTTAGGGATATACCTAGACCAGTCCCCGTCATTTAAGGAACATGTTACGCGGCTGAATAACAAGATATCTAGTCAACTTAGTTTGGTAAGTAGGGTACGTAACGGCCTACGCAGCTGAAAGAGTCTTTACAACCATGATACTTTCCAAGTTATATTATTGCGATTTTGTTTGGAACAACTTAGCTCCTTCTAGATATAAATCTTTAGAACGACTTCAAACGAGGGCCGCAAGAATTGTTCTGAAGGATAGCAATCTTAGTCACCATCAACTGTTATGCCAATTAAGTTGGAAGTCCCTAAGGGCGCGTCTTACTACGCACAATTTAACTTTCGTTTTTAAACGTCTCCAGTAACATTGCTCTAGATCTTTTTAAGAGTTATTTTATCAAGTCTTTACATATTTATTCCACTGGGCGTAATTTTTTAGATATTTTAATTCCTAAAGTCCGTACAGAATCTGCCAAGAAGGGAAAGTTCTATACTTGAGCCCAGGCTTTCAATAACTTGCCACCGCCCCTAAAGGAAGTTGACTCTATAGAGATTTTTAAAACACAGCCTCTTAATGATATATTATTTAGAGTTCTGGTAAATCTTTTAGAGTTTTTTGAAGGTCTTAATTTACGTAGTTATATAATTCTCAGTTTTTATCCATCGCCATTGTACATTGTTTTTTCATTTTCTGATAGTTGATTTGTTACAATAGCTATTTTTTCCTTTAGTTGTTATTTTACGTTGCCCAGGGCACCCATTTATAACAGCTTCTGCTGACAGGTTTACCCTGGTTAACTATGTTATTATTATTATTATGTAAAATTTAGGACAGGGATTTTCCCTGGGGAGAAATATCCAGTCAAGTCTCATCCCGAGACCTCCAGCACCTTTCTGAGGATATGTGCCGATCCGAGGAGTGCCGACTTTTGCATCGTTCTTGTTCAGTTTTTAATTCCTAGTTGCTCCAAGTGGCCTGCCAGCTTCTTTGACACTCAACCCAATGCACCTACAACCACTGGCACCACTTTTGTCCTTGATTTCCAGATCCTTTGAATCTCTCTTGCCAGGTCTTGGTACTTTTCACACTTTTCAGTTTCTTTCTGCAGTATATTACTATCTCCGGGAACAGCTATGTCCACAATGATTGTTTCCTTTGCTTCTTTTTCTGAATTACAATGTCTGACCTCCTGTGATGGATTTCACGGTCTGTTTGGATGGTAGAGTCCCACAACAGTTTAACCTCCTCATTCTCTTCTACGCTTTTGGGGGAATGCTCATACCATTTGTCACTGCACTCCACTCCATATTCCTTGCACACCTCGCAATGAATGACCCGCCCAACAACATCATGCCTCTTTTTATATTCTGTCTGCGCAAGCTTGGGGCAACTACACAAAATATGCTGCACAGTTTCATCGTGGCTACCACACATTCTGCATTTGGATGATACGTTTTGGTTTTCGATTCTGGCTTTTACGGCGTTTGTTCTTAGTGCCTGATCTTGCGCGGCAAAAATAAGCCCTTCTGTCTCCTTCTTCAGTTCACCAGTTCTTATCCACTCCCAAGACACACCAGATAGGTCATCTGTCTCTCTCTTGAACTACCCATGCAGCTGTTTTCCAGACCAGTCCTCAGTTCTTTTCCTCTTCATCTTTTCCTTATATTCCTTTGGCGTTTCAATTTTATTGGCATTCTTCCTCTTCCATGCAGCTTTCAACAACCGTTCCTGGCTCTGGCAGACGTAGACATTGATATTTCTTTCTTCAATATTAATGGCATCCTCAACACTAATTAGTCCACCCCCTCCTTCTCTTCTTGGTAGGTACAAGCGGCTTACATTGGACCTGGGGTGAAGAGCGCCATGGATGGTTAATAGTTTCCTGGTCTTCCGATCCAATTCAGCAAGCTCACTCTTTGTCCAATTTACAATCCCCCCACTGTACCGAAGTAGAGATACAGCCCAGCTGTTAATAGCCTTTATGACATTACCAGCATTTAGCTTTGAGGACAAAGTTTTCTTCACTCTCCTAATGTACTCCCCCCTCTAACACCCCCAGATATTTATAACCTTCAACATCATCTCCAATACCTCGGATAATTCTTCCATCAGGCAATCTTATGCCCTCTGACTTATCCAGCTTGCCTCTTTTCATTACCATCGTTGCGCACTTCTCGATTCCAAAATCCATACCAATGTCACTGCTGAACACCCGGACAGTATGTACAAGTGAGTTAATTTCTTTCTCATTTCTTCCATATAATTTCAGGTCGTCCATAAACAATAAATGGGTTATCTTGCCCTCTTCCTTACTGAGTTGGTAGCCTGTTGCTGTTTCGTTCAGTACACTGCTGAGAGGTAGCATTGCAATCACAAATAACAAAGGGGAAAAGGAATCCCCCTGGAATATTCCTCTCCTGATGGACACTTCACCAAGGTCCTTACCACATGCTGTTAGTTGTGTTTTCCGGGACTCCATGCTTTCCCTCATTAGCCGCTTGATATTATCTGCAGCCCCTACAAGATCAAGTGATTCTAATATCCAGGAATGGGGAACAGAATCATACGCCTTCTTATAATCGATCCAAGCTATTGCTAAGTTGGTTTTCGTCTGCTTGCAGTCACGAAGTATTGCCCTATCTATAACCAGTTGGTCCTTTGTTCCTCTGCTCTCCTTTCCGCAACCTTTCTGCTCATCTGGTAACAATGAGCTCTGGTGGAGATGTTGGTACAAATCCTCTGCTATGATCCCCGTGAGTACCTTCCACATTATTGGTAAACATGTTATTGGCCTATAGTTTCCCACAGCATTCCCTTTCACCTTGTCTTTGATCAGCAGAACAGTTCGTCCCTTTGTCATCCATTCAGGAATGCCTCTGCCATCAAGGCATTCTTGCAGCTGCAACGCCATCCGTTCATGTAGTTTCTTCATGCTCTACCAGAATCCTTGTACGTTATCGGGGCCGGGAGCCTTCCAGTTTGGGATCTTCCTTAAAATTGCTCGTAGCTTATCAATATCAATGGTCAGATCATCTTGTTGTTCTACCTCGGTCTTTCCCTTTAGGTCATTTAACAAAACCAGCATCTCTTCTGTGTTTCACTGGCCGGTTCCAAATATTACTCCAAAACTCTCTGGCTTCATTAGCATCAGGAGTCGGTTGGTCACTTCCCTGTGAGCCATCAAGTTCTTTGTAAAACTGCCTCTGATTAACCTCAAATAACCGGTTCTGCTGGTATTGCAAAATTCGGTCATTGTATCGCTTGATTTTATGAGCTTTTGCACTGATGCGCTGTTTCAGTTCTTCAATCACAACTGCGACCCCCTTGGTTTCTATTTTGTACTTTCTCCACAACTGAATCCTGATTCTCGGCCTACTGCACTCATTTCTACAGGCTAAGGTTTTTTCGCAGCTGATCCACCTGTCCTTGTAACCGTCTTTTCCACCATGGTTCTTTGGTTGCTTTCTTCTTGCCAGGTTTGAGACCCAGTCTTTCCGTTACTACTACTGCAGTGGCATGCAGTACCCTGTTGGTTTCCGAGATGTCGTTTGTTTGTATTTGGGCCGCTACTTCTTCTACAACCTGGAGTTCCTCTCTTATCCTTCGCTTTGCAATTTTCTTCAAAGCTGGTACTTTGTCTTGGTCCTGACTCAATCTGATTTCATTCAGTCTTTTCCAAATTACCAGTTGGTCTTCAGACAATTGCCGAGGTGCTTCATCACACCCTTCACTCTGTACCTCCTTTACATTCTCGGCAGGTAATTCATGCTCGTTACCATCGTTAGCTTCCTCTACAACAACTGTCCCATTTTGTTCATCACAGTTTCCATGCTTGTTCCTCTTGATCTCTTCTAGCTCCACAGCTTTGAACCATTTACTTTTCAAGATAGTACGGGCCTGGTCTGCAAGCCTCTGTTCAGTCACTTTTACCATTCCTTTCTCATCCCACAATTTCCCGCGATTTCCGCCAAAAACACCTAGACTTGCCTGTGGTGTCTTACCTGTTAATTTAATTAAGTTATTTTACATTGGTACGCCCGTGGTGCGGACGGACGGTCGGTGGGCGGACCTACGGTCACGTGATTTTTCGGATGGATGGATTACCAAATTTTCTAAGGAATGGGGCGCCGCTCGCGAACACAAATATATTTTTTAAAAAGTGGCCAAAATTATACTCAAACTGGGCGATGGAGACGGATTATTGATGTATTTGTTCTGCCTTCGCTATGGCTGAAGATTTTCGTCAACCACAAAATTCTAAAACGACCGCAATGCATTGTGGAAAGTGGCAAAGTGTCTTTAAATCTGCAAGGTTTTATTCATGACTCACGATTTTCAGGGACACGTCACACTCAATACATGTCTTGGTCAATAAAATAGAGAAGAGTAACTCTATTACCGGGTACTGTTCATTCAAAAACGTTTTATGTTGTTGTCATTTTATAATTTGTTGTGCAAGGGAAGCGTGTGCTTCGATCGTCCTGAATATTAAATGAGTCAGCAATTTGTCTTGTAAGATTATTCTGTGAAAAACTGCAGAGTTATAAGTAAAATAGGGCCAACCATGACATAATCTGTGTCCGAAGCCTGAACGATAAATAAACAACGCCTGATAGTTTTGTTTACCTCAGAGGTGATATCAAAAGGCTGGTTTACGCGCTACCAGATTTGTAAAGTAAACACGGCCTGATTTTCATTTTGGCCTTTCCTTCAGCCAGAGAGACAAAACCGATAAGCTATAACGTGTAAATTGGCTGCCACCGAGGAATATATATCGTATCTTAACGGCCTTCATGGCATAAAATTATATTTCGAGACTGGGCTAAAAGCGAAGCTCTCGATAATATTTATAGTTTGCTCAAACAAAACATATAATCTTGTAATGCTAAGCGGCGAAGGAAATGAGAACGGTGAAAAAACAGCAATAGGTCTAACTGGCAAAAAAGCAACTTTGCACGGCAGCACACTTTTTTGTACATTTCTTTGCCGTTGTTTTGTACGACTAAAACGTGAAACTTCCAGAAACTTCCGGGTTACACGTTTTATGGAGGTTTGTCGTACGTGTTCTTGTTCATTTTTTTTTCACTGCCACTCATTTTCACCTTGGTGGCCGCTAGGATTTCTTATTTTTCCACCGCCGCTACAAAACTTTCATGCTGTTCTTCCAACAAAAAAATGTCTTTTTTGTCTTTTCTCTCTCTCTCTAGCAGTCTGTCGCTATACTTCGCTGGCCTTTCGCCTACTTTCTCTTTTTCTCTGTCTCTCTCCTTCTCTGTATTCCAAATTTGTGGAAATGACAATTAATCTAAGCTTAATTAGACAACATGGATGCAGAAACAATTTCTGCTTTCCGTTTTCGTCTTTATTGACTCTTTAGTTGTCTCTGCTTCACAAGACGCGGGCGGCTATATCACTTGAACAAGCTTTCCCCTTATTTTCCGATTACGTTTTATTGCTTCTACACAAAAATAAGTGGTTTTATGCCAGTTTTAACCAAACGAAGCGTTCTCGACTGTTTTTATCTGCTTATTTTCTATTCTGAGAAATTCTCAACTAGAGTCTGGCGTTTGCCGTTTACGGTAAACGTGAATCTTAATCTCTCTATCTTACATTGGTATGTCTGTGGCATGGACGGACGAACGGTCGGCCGGGCGGAAGGGCGTACGGTCACGTGGCTACCAAAATTTCTCAGATGCATAGGTTACCAAATTTTCTTACTCACGGTGCTTCGCTTTAAAATAAAGGTGGTGTAGGTGGACAGGCAAATTATTATTAGGTAATTTTGCTTGGGAAGAATTAGAGACTACTTGAACTCTGGTGTTTGCTCTACAGGTAGGAGTTCAAAGAAAGACAGTCTTTGCATGTAACTCCTTTTTACCCATGGTACTTGGTTTTCTACACTGTCACGTGTTTGTACGGGAAAGAGCCTTATGTCCTTGTGACCGCGGTCTGCCCCGTGATGAATGGATTACTTTTTGCAGGATAATTACCAACTATTTGTTTCTCATGAATGATTGGTGGTATTGTTTACTTAATTAAAAAGAGAATTGACATACATCAATTCTAGAGGGTATAAGGCGAGAAAATCTTTTCCTTTAGTCACACTCTTGGTCATTATAACTGCCTGGATTAGCTCGTCTATCACGATCATTTCTATAGTCTTCCATGTTTTTCCATTAAACGGTCCAGTATGTATGCCATTTATTTCGAATGAGATTCCAAGACTTTTTGAATGTTTCGTACAATAACATAGCTTACGTAAAGACCTACTCGAGCGCTTTTTAAAGTGAATTTTTCCCTACCATCTCAAGCGATCAAAAGAAGTCAAGAGTAGGCTTCTGAAGGTTTTTAGGACCACATACGAGACTGATACTCTTTTGTTCTTCAGCAATTGTTTGATGTAGGAGATACAAAGAGCTATAGATTCACCAGGTATTATTGTTGTTGACTCACCTTGGCATCTGTGTTTGTCACTAGAAAGCAAGAAACCACCGTGGCACTCGCACTCATAACTTCCTTTTGTATTGCTACAGATGTGATCGCAGCCACCATTATTGGTGGTACACTCGTTCACGTTTGTTGAAAGAGGGGAAAGTGTTAACTAAGACATTAGCATCACAGCTGATCCGCGTAAATGTTGATCAGTAATCCTTCATCAGGGTTATTTTTATTATACATGTATACATAAACGTGTTGCAGAATCGGTCTTCTTACACCCACTATTTTTTTAACACTGGTGAGATTTAATGTTTACTCAGTCATTTTTCTTCGATATTTTATGCCATCTAAGCAGCTAACTTTCTTCTGGCCCCATTTTCTTTTCCAAGAAATTTTTACGGCTCTTTCATTCTATGGGAAATTGCCCACCACCTTTTTTCCCTTCAAAAATTGCGAGTATTGACAAACTTCACCGATTCCTAGAGTAATAATGTCATCAGACTAAATTTGTCTAATTATGGGTTTATTGAGAGAGTAAAAAAACTGATGGAAAGGGCTATTTGCCAATAATCAGTATTTTCTTAAAGTTAAGAACAAGATATTAACACCGTTATGTTTTTTCAGCTGCATTCAAATCCTTCTAAATTTGACTTGGGTCATGACGTCATGTTCCAAGTCAATGTGATTTCTCTTACACGTCACTGGGCGTTCGCTCAGGGAGGCAGATCCAAGGTACAGTGTAAGAAGGAGTGGGTGATACTTGTCGGTCACGAAACAAGTTTATTAAATTAGTCCTATGGAAATCCCAAAACGTTGCAGTTGAGGGAAGATGAATACAGGAACCTGTAACACCACAAATTCTTACACGCTTCCCGGCGCGCGGCTATCAGGCAGGCAGGCAGGCCAGAAAAGGGGTGGCTACCCACCCAATCCATATCCCTTGGATCCACCTTGTCGTTGCATTGCTATAATAAGCAATGAAGTTTCTGCTGCCATAAGAGAACAGAATTTTCACTGATAAATATTACCTGTGCATTTTTGTCCATCTCCTGTATATCCAGGTTTACACGTGCAAGCGAAGGATCCGAGGGTGTTATTACAAAATGCATCAGAACTGCAATTGTGGGCATCTGCCACACACTCATCGATATTTCAAATACGTTTTATATTAAACAACGGAAAGCTCAGTGGGTGAAAAACTAAAATTTATTTAACCTGGGCGGAAAAAATATCCATTCTTGCAAATGCAATTGTAAGATCCTTTGTTGTTCCTGACTTTGCGTTTCCGTTGCATTTGTTTGTTTTAGACCCACAATCGATTTTTGGACAACCTTTATTATATTCAGTAACCGTCTGAATGTGTCTCCAATAATACCATAGTCGGGACCTGAAATTTGAGTTTTTTTTTCTTTTTTTTACTTTTTTCACAATAATTGTAAATATAAGGTTTCGATGGTATTGCGTCATTTCAAAAGTAGGTTTACCTCCAACTTTGCTTACGCTTTCATGAATAAAACTTTGACAAGATGCTTCCCCATTAACCAAAACCTCATTTATGTATTTGCATATTCATCACCTGTGCAGTTCCATCCGTCTCCCATGTAACCAGGTTTACATGTGCAGTTGTAGGATCCTTTGGTGTTATTACAAACTGCATTAGAACTGCAACTGTGAGTTATTCCTTCACACTCATTGATGTCTGAAATCATATTGAAGAATGAATATAAGCTTAGTTTGCAGAGTGAATTCCTCTTTATCTTTCTAAACAGTGAGGCTAGCACTGAGAAGAAAGTTGTAAAAGATATACATACAAAAACCAAAGTTTCTGATACCGGCCTTTGATAGGAGACAAAACACTAAAATACAATACACTAATAATAATAATAATAATACAAGAATTAATATAGCGCCATTTCCGTGAGCTCAATGGCGCTTTACAATAATCGTAATTCTCAAAAAACAAAATAAATAAAAAATATTTGACTTATTACAGAGAATATATGTGACAGTTGTAGAAATAAATTTCTAAAAAATAAGATACAATCGACTTGCTAAGGTTAACTAAGGAAAATATATACAATAAAAGAAAAAGGTTGGCAACTAACTAATCAAAGCCTCTCTAAAAAGTAGTGTTTTAATCTTATTCTTAAAAACATCAAGGTTCTGGATTGATCTTATGTCATCGGTTAGGGAGTTCCAGAGCCTGGGCGCAGCAACTTGAAAAGATCTGTCACCGTAAAACTTGAGATTAGACTTTGGTGTTACAAGCAGATTTTTTGAAGAAGATCGTAATTGCCTCGTCGGAGTATAGGGCTGAAGGAGATCTGCTATATATTTTGGCGCCATGCCATTCAGTGCTTTGTGCTTAAGAAGTAGTATTTTGTACCTAATTCGTTGTCTGACTGGTAGTCAGTGTAGTCTACGAAGAACTGATGTTATATGTTCTGAGCTTCGAGTTCTAGTCACCAGTCGAGCTGCGCAGTTTTGTACATACTGTAGCCTATCAATAACCGATTGAGGTAAGTCATATAGAAGAGCATCACAGAAATCCAACTTAGATGAAATAAATGCATGAATAAGTGTCTCAGCATTATCCTGAGAGAGACTGTTTCTTATCTTTGCTATATTTCGTAAATGATAGAAGGCCGTTTTGCAGGTGTTCATAACATGTTTCTCTAAGGTGACATGGGAATCAAAATTTACACCTATATTTCTAGCATTATTAGAGACTTCAATGTATTCACCAGCCACATGAATACCCTTAATAGGTGGGTTGACTTTGTGCTTTGGTCCTGTCACTAGGAGCTCAGTTTTATCCCTGTTCAGCTTTAACATGTTTGCAAGCACCTATGCATCAATATCATTTAAGGTGCCTGAACACAGTTTTGCGGGTGGTCAGTGGTAACTCGCGTGACAGAGAGTGTTTTAACTTAGATAAACAAACATGGCGGCTAAAAAGCAATGGCAAACAGAAGACGATTTCTCAAAATCTACTCATTAAAATTGTGTGATAGTTGTAGGAATGTCTACTTTTATCGTATTTTAGATAATGAGAACTTTAAAATGGAAGTTGAACAGACGATTTTTGTGACACATTTCATAATAATTACAGTACAATTATAACATTGATTATCTTAAAACCCCTCTGTTAAAATTTGGTCAAACAAGTTTCAAATGGTAATGATAAATTATAGTAAGCTATGTGCAAGTTTATAGGAAAATCCAAGGAGTGAATTTTCTGCAAACTGAGCAAAAGTGAAATTTTTTTAAGGTTGTGTTCAATCGTTCATGTTGCCATGAGAACTACGAAAATGTCAAATTTTACCGGTCAATCAAAATTTTTCATCAATATATTTTCACTTGCCAAGTTTCAGCTTGTGAGCTACAACCCTTCTCTTGCCATGATTTGGCAAATGACATAAACTCACAAACTGCCAAAACTGTGTTCAGCCACCTTAAACAAGACTCAATTGCTTGCACCGAAACCGCTTGATCATGAAGCTTGAACGAGCAGTAAAGCTGGGTGTCATCAGCGTAGAAATGACATGATAGGCCATGACGTCTGATAACGTCGCCAAGCTGGGACGTGTACAATACATGCAATATAGGCCCCAGCACAGATCCTTGGGGCACGCCACACAGCAGGTCCTTGCTACACGATGTTGCCCCCTTCACGTTGACTACTTGTTTACGATTCTCAAAATTCGCTAAAAGCGTTATGAACTTTCCGCTTTGAATTTTGAGGTAATATGGTCTACTAATACAAAAAAAGTTGCTATAAAAACTACTAATACAAAAACAAATTGCTATAAAGAGCATCTTATCATAGAAAAATAAAGACGGCAATGCTTTTGATGAACTGCAAAAAGGACGAATTTATGAAAGAAATTGCCTGTGCAACTAGTTCCGTCTCCTTCATATCCTGGCTTACATGTGCAGTTGTAGGATCCTTTGGTGGTATTACAAACCGCATTAGAACTACAATTATGGGTTTCTCCTTTACACTCATCGATGTCTGACATCATATTGAACGTCAATGACAATAAACTAAGTTGGCACGGTGGATTCCTATCAGCTGTCTAGACAACGGTAAACCCACTGACGTTCTTTTATAGCTACAGCCGAAGTAAGTTGTTAAGGAAATAAAAGAGAATACAGCAAACAAATAAGCAAACACAAGAAGCTTTTGATGCCATGCGAGCAGACCAGACACAAAAATGAAAATTATCTGTGCAGTTTTTTCCATCTCTTTTATATCCAGGTTTACATGAGCAATTGAAGGATCCGTGGGTGTTGTTACAAATGGCATCAGAACCGCAACTGCGAGTGTCTGCTTTACACTCGTCGATGTCTGTAATATTACATTATTGAACACCATAAATAGTTAGCTTAATACGCTGAATGTGGTTCTTCGTACCCGTCACTGGGCATTAGTTCAGTTGGGCAGATCCAGGATTTTATGCACTAAGAGGGAGTGGGTGATACCGGTAACTTGTCCTATGGCGTCCCCAAAACGTTGCAATTGAGGAAGGATGAACAGGAACTTGTAACACCGCAAATTCTTACAACGCAACAAAATATAGAAATGATTACAATACAAGAAACTTGTTCTCTTCCTGGCTGTACACGATATAAAGCATAAAACGGAAAAAGTGCCAATTAAACTGTTCTAAAAAACAAGTAAGTCGACTTTCTGCCACGCGGGCTAGCCTTCCAATCCACCTCCCCTGCATCCACGCCTGTGGTTGCATTGCTATCAGAAGAAAGTTATAACAGGAGGAGATAACTAAAGACAAGTGATAACGTTTCTGCTGGCATACGAGAACGGACAAACCACTGAAAATACTACCTGTGCAGTTTTCTCCATCGTCTGTAAATCCAGGTTTACATGTTTTTTTTTTTATTATTTTTTTTTTTATTGCAAGTAATACACACACAGAAAAGAAACAAAAATTAAACAGAATGAATAAAGTAAAAAAAAAAAAAAAAAAAGTAACAAATAAAGTAACAAAAAAAAAAAAACAGATAGCGAATTTACACACTTACATGGCGATATACTCACAAATATTAAAATACGTTACAGCAATGGTAATTCCATATATTACTGTACTTAGTATAATCTATAATTAATTTTTACATTTTTTTTTCTTTCTTTGTGGTGAAAATAATATAAATGCTCATAGTAGGTGCACTAATTTATGTTTTTGGAGTTAGGAGACAAGACCCAGCGAGGAAAAGAAAGGTTTCCATTTTTTTGTATTGCGCGGTGTCTTATTTTCTAATTGGTATATATGTCTCAGATAAAACAAGAAATTGTTGTGAATTGGGAAACATTCTTTTGATCTGCATATCCAGATAAAGTTCTTAGCTATAAGACAACAGAAGTTTATATGGAGCTTAAAGGAAGAGCTGTCTGGCGTTAGGCCCAAAGCGGTAGTCATGTCTAAGTAACTGCCTGGTTGGAGGATCTGGCACGACTGAAGCCATATCGAGAAATTATCCCAAAAATTTTTGGTTTTTTGGCATTTCCAAAATAGATGCACCAAATCCTCTTTCTCGTCATGGCAAAAAGTACATTTTCCGTCCTCTTTAACTCCTATTTTTTGCAGATAGCTGTTAGTTGGTAAACGTCTGTGTAAAAATCTGAAATTAAAATCAATTAGTTTTGAGCTCGTTGTACAAGTGTTTGCTGCTTGAAAAACGTTTCTCCAGTCAGCATTTTTATCGGTTGAAGAGTGGATGTCTTTATGCCATTTGTCTATACAAGATGTGGGTTTTTCACTTTTATTTGCTATTAGTTGCTTGTAAGCAATTCTAGATGATTTTTGGCCTTTGAGAAATGTGTTAAGAGGACTTTCATACTGCTGATGTGTTCTCGGGATTTGTCGTTGTAAAGATTTCACGGCTGAGACAATTCCGAAAAACATTAATGGTTTTACTCGAATGTTATATCTGTTCTGAAAATGGTCGAGGGAAAAAAAGTTGAGAGAATCCTCGTCCATTAGATGTTTAACTTTTGTTATACCCTTGTTAAGCCAATTATTGCAGAAAACTGGTGCGTTATTTATTCTTATTAATGAATTTTGTAACAGAGGTAGAGATAGAAAATGATCTTTTGATACTATTTTCCTCTCGAAGAAAGTGTCAGACCAAATTTCTACAATTTCTTTGATAAAAGGGTCTTCTATCTTTAGCTTATCAATATCCTTTCTGTTAAGATTTCCTAATTCGAAAAAAAGACTTCCCCCGTATTTGCCCAGCGCCAGATTAAAGAAGTTTTTCCATTTGCCACGGTTTCCTGAATCTAGATACTTTTTAATCCACGTAGCCTTGAGAGATTTGTTAAAAGAGGCAATATCAATCATTTTTAGTCCTCCTTCAGGTGTGAGTATATAGACCAATTGGGATGCTACAAGGCTTTTTAGTACTGTTATTTTCCCTATTAAGCTAAGTCTTCTAAATTTCCAGCATCCCAGGATAGTTTGGATTTTTGCCAATTTCTCGTTGTAATTGAGAGAGAGTGTTAACTGTTGATCTGTAGACAGCCACACGCCTAGTGCTTTGACCTTTCCCTTTTGCCATTTAAAATTTTTTTCCGGACAGAGTTTCAGGTTGCAGTTTCTTTTAGAACCTGTCCACAAGGCCTCTATTTTCTTATTGTTCAGCCTTAGGCCAGATATGTTCCCAAATGTTTCTATCAGTGACAGTGACGCTCTTACTGATTCTTCAGTTCCATCTAAAATGAGTGTCGTGTCATCCGCATATTGACTTACTTTAACTTCGGTATTATAGATTTTGATGCCCTTTATTTCTTACTTATTGCGAATAGCTTCAGCTAGTATTTCTACGGACAGTATGAAGAGGTAAGGCAATAGGGGGCAGCCTTGTCTAACACCTCTACTTAACTCAAAGAAATTGCTTGCCCATCCATTGTTTAGTATACAGCTTTCGGTATTGCAGTAAAATAGTTCAACCCAGTCTAACAGTGAGGGGCCAAACCCAAAGTGCCGTAACGTTTGGTTTATGAATGACCACTCTAACGTGTCAAAAGCTTTTTCAAAATCGAGGAAAAGAAGTAGACCGCGTAAACCTTTGTTTTCTGCATACTTAATAGCACTATCTAATGTGCGTATATTGTCACTTATTCATCTGTTTTTAATAAAGCCTGACTGATCTTCTGATATAAGTTCCGGTAAAACTGTTTTGATTCGATTTGCAATAGCCTTTGATGCAATCTTATAATCGCAGTTTAATAGTGTCAATGGGCGCCAGTTTTTAATCAGGTTGGGATCTGCGTCCTTCTTCGGTATAAGCTTGACAATTCCTCGCCTTTGTGATACAGCGAGTTTTCCTGTTTGGTAAGAAAAGTTTAGGGCCTCTGTTAGTGTTTCGCCTACGTCTTTCCAGAAAACTTTATAAAATTCACACGGCAGGCCATCAGTACCAGGTGTTTTTTCCGTGGCCATACCGTTTAATGCTTCCAAACACTCTTTAGAAGTTAAAAGACCCTCACAATGCTGTTTTCTTTCTTCACTTAATACTTCTCGTGCAGGTGGAAAGAAAACTTCCGGGTAATCGTTAACTTGTACTTTTGAACTGTAGAGATTTTTATAAAAGGTCTCGCACTCGTGTAAGATTTCCCTGTCGGATTGGATTAAGTCTTTGTCATTAACTTTCAGTTGGGTAATTGTTCCTTGTTTGCAGTGTCTCTTCTCTAAGTTTAGAAAGTATTTAGTGTTTTTTTCGCCCTCATTGTACCATCGCGATTTAGATCTTAGAATAGCCCCTTTTGTCTGGTATTCGATTATGGTTTCAAGTTCCCGTCTTTTCTTTTCTAACTCTGACCATACATTTTGGCAGTCAGTGGCATCAATGTTGGCGGTCTGCTCCTCCAGGATTTTGATTGTCTTTTCTATATCATCTTGTTTTTGAAACATTTTTCTCTTATTTATTCTGCCAAACTCAATTGATGTCTCTCTAATTTTCATTTTTATCATTTCCCGCAGTAAGTTTGGATCGACAGTATTATCCAGTGCATATTCATCTTTAGTTTGAGTTATAATGGATTGTATTTTCTTTATATATTCTTCGTCCTTTAGGAATGAGGTATTTAGTTTCCAGAAGCCCCGGTTTACAAGTGCAATTGAAGGATCCGTGGGTGTTATTACAAAATGCATCAGAACTGCAATTGTGGTGTGTATCTACTAGACACTCATCGATATCTGAAATAGGTTTTAAATTACATGTAAATAAGTGAATGCTCAATCACTGAAAAATTAAAATCTACTTATTCTGGAGGTAAAATATTCTTTGTCCCTGCATCGTCTTATCTGTTTGTTATAGACCCGCAACCGATTTTTGGATAACCCTCCATTTTCTTCACTAAGCGTAAGAATTTGTCTCCTAAGATACCATGATCGTGACCTGAAATTTCATTCTTTTTTTTTACTTATGACCAATAATTGTTAGTATAACGTTAAGATTGTATTGCGTCATTTCCAAAGTAGGTCATTACTTCCAAATTTGCTTTACATTAAAAATACAAGGTACTAAGCATTAACCTTTCCACTTAAGGTAATATGGTCTACTATCTAGCAAAGAATTGTTATAAAGAGCCTCTTATCATGGAAAAATAAAAACAGCAATGCTTTTGATGGCATGCAAAATGACTACATTTCGAAAAAAAATACCTGTGCAATTATATCCGTCCCCTTCATATCCTGGTTTACATGTGCAGTTATAGAATCCTTTGGTGTTGTTACAAACCGCATTAGAACTGCAATTGTGAGTTCCTCCTTCACACTCATTGATGTCTGAAATCATATAGAACAATGGAGATTAAGCTTAGTTTGCAGAGTGAATTCTTCTCAGCTTCCTAAAAAGTGAGACCGGCACTGAGGAGAAAGTTGTAAAAGAAATGCATGGGGACTGAGACAAAACAAAAAAGCAAAGTTTCTGATGCTGGCCACGTTGAGACAAAACATTAAAAATACAAGGTACTAAGCATTAACCTTTCCACTTAAAATTTTGAGGTAATATGGTCTACTATCTAGCACGAATTGCTATAAACTGAGAGCATCTTATCACGGAAAAAATAAAAACAACAATGCTTTCGATGGCATTCAAAATGACTAAAGTACTAAAAATATCACCTTTGCAATTATTTCCGTCCCCTTCATATCCTGGTTTACATGTGCAGTTATAGAATCCTTTGGTGTTGTTACAAACCGCATTAGAACTGCAATTGTGAGTTCCTCCTTCACACTCATTGATGTCTGAAATCATAATGACCAATAATTGCAAAAAAATAAGTTTGCATTGTGTGTTTTAGACTTTCCCCCGTTTTTATCTACAGTGCATGAAATCAAGAGAGGAGGTTACTAGAAAGCAGTAACAGTATTAGTAGCAAGCCGAAAAAAATGGTGTCGAATCCAAGGTTCAAGACATTCTCTGTCTTTTAAGACATTGACTTATTGCTTTTGTTTCATTTTGTTTTTCTTTTGCTTTTTTTTTGTTTTGTCTTGTTTTTTTTTTTCACTTTTACGAATAAACTTGTTCAATTATTATGGTTGGACCCACAGTTTCGATGTTTGACATTCATGTTCTTTGTATGTCAACTTATGGGCCCCGTTATGTTCGAAAATCTTATTTAGGTAAGTTTCCCTTAGGGGTTAAATTTCAATTTTACGAAGAGCATTTTTATATGGAACTCTTCCACCCCCTCGAGAGCTCAATCAAGTGAGCTACCTAGCAACGAGCCTGGAGGTATAATCAAGGCTCAGGCCATATCACGTTTTCTTGGGTTAGAGTTGGTTTAGAGTTAGTTGAGTTAGAGTTGGTTTAGAGTTGAGATGCTCCTGAAGAAAGGCTTTCAATTACAAACTGCTTCTATTCAACAACAAGCTCTAATATTACTCAACTCGAATAACCAAGAAACACAAAAGATTACGAACACAAAAAGTAAAAATTTGAGGAACTAGCATTTGAAATTGTATGACAGTTAATAGACTAATTGAAACAAGAGGCTAGCAAAACCCTAAAATGTTCGCTACGCAAACGTTTTATACACTGTCGTAGGAAATGACAAAGGACAGCCCGAGCTTGATTACGATTTACGAACCTTTGATTATTTGCATAAAAGGAAAGTTTTTTTCAAGAACAACTTACCATGTTCACATTGTGCACCAGTGAAACCAGAAGGACACAAACACCGATATTTTTTCTCTGTGAATCCAGACTGACAGGTACCGTTGTTTTGGCAACGAGGAGTATCACACGCACTCTTTGATAGAACAAAAATCAGGTTTGAATTGTGAGAGAAGAAGTTACGTTAAACCGTCTTGATAGAGCGTCAACTACAAACTACAAGATGATGATGATGATGATAAGACAATGGTAATTATTACGACCCTGATGATAATAATTATTAATAGGGAGCTTAAGCAACTACGACGTCAAAGGCAAGGAAAACGCAATAAGGTTAAATAGGTTAAGATTAGCAAAAAAAAAACTTTGCACCTAGATCACGTTTTTTGTACATTTCCCTGCCCTCGTTGCACAACTACCACGTTGAACTTCTTAGATTCTCCTTTTCTACCGGGACGTGAATACAAGACAACGATTCTTTATTTTATTGTTATTATTTTTTTTTAACTTAGATACAGTCCTTTACAATGCGACTCCAGAAAAACTCACCAACATTTGGTGACCAATTGAACGACGTGCAATATGAACGATAGATTTTAATACAGCGTGAATTCACTCTTTAAGAGACGTTTTCGTCACGTCGTCTTCGTCGTTGCTTAAGCTCGCTCTAATGACGAAGATGGTGACCATTGTGATGATGATGAAGATTTCGACAGTGGGATGATGATTGCCTTGAAGGTGATGAAAATGAAAGAAAAAGAAGACGAGAAAAGAAAAGACAAAAAACTTACAATTGCTCCATGATATAAGCAGCCTTTCCTCTCTTTAAAGTCCTCATCGTGCGCTCGGTGTGTTGAATTGTTCAGTTCACATCGTCTTTCTCTTTGTATCTCGTAATTAACACTGACACAGTTTGGTTTGTTGTAACAAAGCAGTTCACAAAGACCCATATCCGGGACATGTTGGACAATTAAGAACGTGTGGCTCTCCAAACATTTGTCAGCAATTAGGAAATAACTCGGAAACGCCAGTACGCGGCAATTACCTGAATTGAAAAGAGAAAAAAAACTGCATTTAGCAATTCCAGGAGCTTATAAGGTGGCCAATTCTGACCTCTTCTAGCGGTAAAAAGAGCTTCGATTAAAAGCAACTGTCCTTCATAAACAAGATTGAAGTTCATAGAACGTAATGACTTATATTTTCGGTTATACTCCTTAGCTTCAAGCTATGTTTTATCTGACATTCTCAAACTCATTAATAATTCATTAAGAAAATACAAAGGAAATTAATGTTTAATGAGTGTTTGGAAATCGGATGAAACACTGCTTAGTATTTGCATCCTTAATTTCTCCTTCAAAAATGATTTTGTTTGAGAAGAAATATCAAACATTCGACACAGTGTTTCATCACCAGATAAAACACCTCGAAGTTCGTCAAAAATACTCCGCTGCGCGTCGTATTTTCAACTCTCTTCTCGGTGTTTCATCTGGTGATGAAACACTGCCTCTCATGTTTGGTATATTACTTTAATCATGAAACTACTATGTATGTTAATTAAAATTGCTGGGGTTCCGTTGACAAGCAAACAGAATTCTTGGTTTCTTAGCAATTTTCCCTTTGTTAATTATGTGCAGCAGGATGTGTTTACCCTTATTTCCTCTTATTCAACATTTATTAGGTTGCAATGTTATTCAGTCAGTCTGTTAGCAGCTTCATGGATTGATTGTAATGAATGAATAAGCAAATTCTTGCATTAAATAGAATAAAACATGGGTTGAAATAGATGGCATGATATCGAATGAAAGAATTTAAGAATTCCAAGGACAACTTCTATGATGGCAATTAACACTGACTAACGCCCAAAGAGGACAAAAATAAATAACCATTAGCTTGGTATTTCGCTTGTTTTTCGTCCATGAGAACGTTTGATATTTATTCTGAAAAAGGCGTTCAGTGAACGTCTTAACTATTAAATTGACCACAAAGGAAACAAGGACAGTTGAGTGGTATAAAATTCACGTTAATACGATGACCGTTGGCCTTTAAAGACCCATCATCTTAGTACAATCCATATCATACTAAGCCTTTCTAAAACATGTGTTACAAAGTATAATTTCACCAGTCTATTAATCTGCCGGATTTTACACATATAACTGGGACGCTCAATTACGTTCTTGTAACAATGTTCAGTAAGATAAAATTAATGCAGAATTTCAAATTGATTGCGTCTGGCTTCTCTTAATTGCCATCCGACCGAGAATATCATTTTATGCTCAGTTGTTCGTATAAACCAGGTAAAATTGTGAAGAAGATAACGTCTGGGTATCCTTAAAGGTGGTCACATTGAGCGAGGTTTTCGAATAAGGAAATGACAGGAAATTTTCGAGCCAGAAAAAGATTCGTCAACGTAAAAGAGGGGAACAGGGTCGTATTAACGTAGAGTGTTAATATGGTATACTAGGGGTCCAAAGTAAAAATAAAGATAATAAGAACAGATACTAAGGAATCTTGGGCTAAGAATAAGAAAACGATAAGAAACGAAAAAAAATAAAAAGGGACTGAAAGCTCCTCGCACACTGACATTGTTAGCAGCCTTTTTTTTTTCTCGCTAGTAATAGCCACAGTCTGTTTTCTTTTCTGTAACTAGATTCTTGAAGAGCAATCATTTTGCCGGCGACCAGACGTAACAGGCTAAATAAACAAACAGAACCCAGAAAGATGGGGTTAATCGCTAGTAGTTGTAAGAGAGGTTAACAGTGAAAAAAGCCGGTCTCCAACCAAAATGTATCATTTAGAGCGTTTCGAAAACGCTTGTTTAGAACTTTTTACGTCTTCTCCCCTCGTTGCTAATAGATTTGGTTCTTTATATCCGGGAAAGGTACAGTCCTTGGAGTCCTACGAGCCTTAAACAATTTTGCAACCACGAAAATTAATTTTGCGGAACTTTTTGCATGTGAAGTGCTTTTTGCATATGTCTGTTAACTGTAAAGAAGAGAAATTAACCTTAAACCGCAGAAAAGTCATATTTATGGGCAGAATATTAGCGCAGAAATTTTGCAGCTACTCTAAGCTTGTTTCCAAATTTTAAAGTCGGTCTAGCCAATTATAATTTTTTTTTAAATCTTCTTTCAAGAGATAAATGTATTTCTCACTATTTTGTCGCCCAATTTTTGAAAATAGCGATAAATATGATTGAAACAACAGGCCGGGAAGAGAAGAACTTACCATCCAAACAGCCGAAGCAAATTCTTAAAGAATTCATGTACAGCATAAAGAAAATACTGTAGTGAAGGACAACACCCATGATCGCTTCCTTGTTCGCGGAACGCAACTCTCTTGAAAAGTCGAGTGCATTAAGTGCGGTTAAGCCACAACGGGGATGTAGCTTATGCTATACTGGTAAACAGTTTCACCTGTCGCATTTTAACATTAACGTCAAAACTTAAATTATTCTTTTTGTTGATGACATAATTTAACAATCGTTGGAAATATTTTACTGATATTTCACAGTTAACGCATACATATGCAGAAACAGAGACTTCCAGATCTATTGAAGTTGTAGCTTTTCTAGCGTTAACTGTGCTCTCATTAATATCGTCTTTAGATTCTTACACCGTTCGTGGTAAACAAAATTTGGCATAAATTAGTGTTGAAAAGCTTTAATGATCTATTAATAGCAACTCTGTTTCAAAATGTTAGGGACTAGCCGGATGGGCCATTGTCGCCGGGTAAATTGGGTAAATTTTTAAAAAATAGCATCTATTATTCAAAGATAAGTTAGCAAATTTTAATTATTTTCTTCTAAGCAACTGTTTTTACAAAAGCGTAGTTAACCCTTTCACAACTGAACTTAATAAACCGCAAATGAAATCTCTTAAATTGAGGTGAAAAAAAAAACCATTGTTGTAGACAATGCTCTAATAAATAATGAAAAGATAAGCAGGTGTTGATTGGACGATTGCACAGCCTATTTCTAATGCACTAGAACATGATTAGCTGCGTGGTACTCAATGGAACCAACCATGCATGGCCACAGGTAGACCAAGCTTTTAGCTCGGTACGTTTTACAGGGTCCTGTGGCTATAAATTCGAGCCGCGCTTTGCGGACATCCGCTTCGTTATTACGGACATCTTTCTTTGTTCCTGGACAACGCCCTTACATTTTAACCCGCTTGATAAGGACACTTAAATCCTTTTTTGTAAGCGTCAGTATAAAAATCGCCGAAACCTTCCCTAACGTATCACTGTCTACTGGCAGCCTCAATAAATTAATTTTAGCTCTGATATTCTGGTCTTGGCTGAGAACTCCTGAGTTTTCATTATGTTTATACGATCGGTTCGTCTGTGGCGCTGTCTAAATAGTGAAGACCTGATGCTACCAAGCGTTTAAAACTCAATAAAGCTACAATACTGGACTGTATAAATATAGTGCCCACCAGCTCAATTACTCTGCACGCCGTCGCTACCACCTATCGCCATAAAAGGGACCTTTTCCTTCTACTTAGAAAAATTCGAGAGTTGTATCCTTCATTCTAAGTTGTACCCTTCCATAAGAAAGGTAATAAACTGGAATCTTGCTTTTTGCAACATCATAGAAAGGGCTATCCACACCCAGATCTATGGAAAGAACGAGAAAACATTAAAACGGTTCAGTTTCAAACATGAATGGGAATACCCAGTCTAATCAAGCTACAGTATCTGTAGGATTTGCCCACTGAAGTACTATCTTGGGCCCGCTATTGCTTATGTTCAAAGTAAATGATTTGCCATATGTACTCGAATTCGTATTAAGCGGATCAAATGTTCCTTTTTTAAGGAAAATATACGATAATTCGTTTTAAAATTTGTAAAAGCCAAATGAAAAGGCTGAAAACAGGAAAACAGGAAGATGGTATTCCCACCTGTCTTAAATAGTGGTAAACTTGCGTGTTTATTGTGAAAATACTTTTCCCTAGTCACGCAAATAACAGAATTCTTTGTTTCTTAGCAACTTTCTCCTTGTTAACGAGTTTATAATCTAAGGGTTAACACATCCTGCTGCACATAATTAACAAGGAGAAAATTGCTAAAAAAAAACAAGAATTCGGCTTGAATCTTTATAAAGATTCAATTTAAAAAAAAAAAAAAAAACGTCAACAACAGCAACAACAAAAGAATTCTGTTTGCACTTCAACGGAAAAACATTTCCTGAACAAACACCGGACGATCAAAATGTTGGCTCTTATCATAAAAATTGAAACTTTCCATGGATTTGCTATTGTCCTTAAGGCAGGGCAGAACCTGAAACGGTTTTCCCCATTTTATGCGCCGGATTTGTTTTAGCTGTGTCTTTTATTCCAATACCGGAATGTTGCTATTTTGTTCAATTATAAAGTTGCCAGCGGACTCAACGAACAACACGAAAACCTATTTAAAAGTTAAATAACAGGAGACAAATATGAGAAAATTTTTAAGAAATATAAAATTGAGTTTCGATGTTGTCACTGCGGTTTTACCCTTATTTTCTCTTATTCAGCATTTATTAAGGGTTGCCATGTCATTCAGTCAGTCTGTTAGCAGCTGCATGATTGAATGAATAAGCAAATTCTTGCATTAAATAGAATAAAACATGGGTTGAAATAGATGGCATGATATCGAAAGAATTTCAGAATTCAAAGGACAACTTCTATGATGGCAATTAACACTGTTTTAGGCCCAAAGAGGACAAAATTAAATAACCTTTACCTTTGTATTTCGCTGGTTTTTCGTCCATGAGGAACGTTTGATATTTATTCCGAAAAAAGGCATTCAGTGAACGTCTTTAACATATTAAATTGACCACAAAGGAAACAAGGACAGTTGAGTAG